AGCACGGCAGCGTGGGGGTCGGGAAGCAGAATGAGACGTCTTGGTGATGGGCTTCTCTCTAAATTACAAGTCTAAGGGTGCAGCCAATGCCATTGCTTATGGTCTCCCTGTCGCCCTGGGTTGTCAGGGCACAGAGCAGCAAATTGGTGCTGCCCTTCACAGTTGCAGTAGCCATCCGTTCTTCACAGCGCAGGCGTATGGGGAACATTAAGCATCTCTCTTAGCAGTAAGGGCCGTCTGTTAGTACTGTGCAGCGCACTCCCCTTCCAAGCGGAGGGGCCCTTAGGCATTTCCCTTCTTTCCTTTGCTTTTGTGTTCGTGTGGTGCAGTGAGAATTTCTTCCTCCCTCAGGAGAGCTCTGCATCTTGCTTCTAGTTGGATTGAGAATCCATTACCACCTAGTGCGTTGCATGTGCATCCAGCCTGGGAGCTTTGGGTACCTGGTGGCCTCTCACTGATAGGTGGCCTTTGGGAGCTGGTTTTGTTCTACAGACTCAAGTGTTGGATGTGAGGGACTGAGAAGCCCTGCCAGCTCCTGGAAGGGCATGGGGCCCCATTGCTTCCTTCTTTAGAAACAGACATTTTCAGTAGGAAGGAGGCAGGACAGGGAGTGAAAGCATCATTGTGCCTCTTGGGGGAGGGAGGATGCCAAGCACAGGCAGAGACCTAGATAAGTATGTGTATTTCACTTAAGAACTTGGTCATTGGTTTGGGAGATGTAGAGGGTGGCATCTTCACTGCATTTCTAGGTGAGTTTTATAGCTTGGGTGATAGCCAGGAAGGACTTGTCAGCAATTGTTAACTGATAACTCTGTCCTGAGGGGCAGCCATTCCGAATTTGCTCTTCTGGCCAAGCGCTGTTTTTGACTGTCGGAATGATTGCAAGGGAACTCTGTTTTGTCCCTGCTGTCTGTGTGGTGTGGAGCTTGTAGCTCTCTGCTGCCCACTTACTATGGAAATACTTGTTTCTGTTGCTCTTAACTGTTGCACTAATTAGCTGGGAATATGCTGCATTTCCAGAGTTACAGGACCGTGTGCTAGCTCTGCAGTCTCCACTCATTTTCTGCCTCTTAAAACTTGCTCAGGTCTCTGTCTTTCACATTACTGTGCTGCTTAGGGCAATCGTTCAAAATGAAAATTGAAGACAGAATTTTTCCAGTGTTACCACTCCCGCAGTGGAGGGGGGCTGCATGATGCAACCCAGGGTTTCTGGCTAGATCTGTGCTCCAGCATGGATTGTGAGCACGGCATACCCCAGGCCTTTCCCAGCTGGAGGAGAAAATGCAATCCGCTTGCAGTGCTGTGAGCCATCACTGGAGCTTGTGAGCTGTAACAGCATCCCCATGAAACTGGGAGCTGCCTGTTGGCACCAACCACTGCCCTGTTTTTCTTTCCCGAATCCACATGCGAATCTGTTCAAGCTGCCGCATTGATGGTGAACTATGAGTACTTGCCAGTTTGGGATCAAACGGGCAGATCCCCAGAATTGCTGAGATATGTTGCTAGTTCATCAGGCTTAGAGGACAGGAGAATGCTGCTCTGATCACAGGGGGAAAATACGATCCAGTTCTACTCCAGGGAATGCTAGTCCTCTCTGCAGAGGTCAGCCGTGTAACACCTATGTCTCTCTGCTCCATAGGAGCCAAGTCCATTACCTTGAGCCCACATCCAGGAGTGCCTTACTCAAGTGCCTTGTCAGGTAACTAGTTTGCAGCTTTTAGGAGTTGTTCAGGGATGGGGCAGCTTTCTATGACACTGCTGTGTGGCCGGCCTGCCTGCCTGCCCACCTTTGCCTGCAGATAGGAGCATACCAGGGGACTCTGGTGGCAGAGCTAATGCTGCCGCGTCTGTTTTGCACCTAGCTTGCTGAGCCCTGAATTCAAGGTAGATGCTGTGGTCCTGCCCAAGCCTTTGAATACCTCCTGTACTTAATGTCTGCTCCAGTCCCATAGGTGATTGCGCTGGAGGCTGCAGAGTCTAGAAGGGCCCTGTAGAAAGCATTAGCTGGCCTGTTGCTGTACTGTGTGGTTCTTTATAATTCAGGTGTGTAGAGAGTGGTGTGGCTCACAGCATGCAGCACACCAAGCTTGGGACAACAAGGAGACATCCTTGCAAGAGCCCTGAAGCTTCAGGAAGGAAGCAGATGAAAATCTGCATGGAAGAGAGCAGATTAAGAAATAAAATGGGAGCATGCAGCATTTCTGTGCACTGGCCTAAAGCTCTAACAAGGAACCGTAAACTCTTAGACTTTGGTTAAGCAACAGAATTGAATGCTTTGCTAGAGCGCAAGCTGTGATCCTGGAACTCCGGACTCCAACTCACCTCCTCTGTGCAATGGCTTTTCTGCCAGCCAGTGCTAGAGGGAGTTCATGTAGCTGTAGGTCAGTGCTGAGTGGATTGTTGCTGCTGTAGTGCTTCAGAGGGTGGTAAAATTGTGGCTCGCAAGCAGTGATTGAAGGTATGGCATCTGCTTGCTTTGGCCTCAGCACTGCAGGGGACAAAAAGTGGGGCCTGCTTGTTGCTGAGAAAAAGAGCTCGTCTTCCCTACTGCCAAGGCAGGCCCTGCATTCCTCACGTGGGGCCTGAACGCGTGTTCACATCTTGTGCTTGAACGTTGGAGATCCTCAAGGGAGTTTGCATGGCTTGGGGCCAGTGCAAGTTGCCTCACGCACAGGAATTGCACATGCTGTTAAGGTCCCAAGTTAGAAAATGAGGCCCTGGAGATGCTGGGACTGTTTGGAGCCATCCAGTCTCCATGTCTGGTGGCAAGCGGGTGACTGAAAGGAAGCCCTTGGTTTGGGATGGGTGCCCTCTGGCTGCTGTCATCAGGTAGCCTGGCTTTTAAGCAGCAAATATAGTATGATTTTTTTTTTTTTTCAGTTCTGCTTAGAAAAGCAAAAATGAGGGAGGTTCCTCCCTGCTAGTCATCTTCTGCTCCAGCAAGGGAGTTGATCACGGCCTGCGCCTGAATATAGCTCCCCCACCTTTTCTTTGGTCTTTCCACCATCATGGGGATACAGTTTGTCCTCCTTCCATATACCTGCAGAAAACAGGAGAATCAACCCTGACACTGCTCAAAGGGTAGAATATCTTCCTTGAGGGCAATTTTTGCAATGCAGGGTGGTGAGAATTTGTAAAAGGCAAATTGGGAGGTAAGGAGGAGTTGGGAGATGTGAATCACTACTGCCAAGGCCTTTGCTGTCTCCCAGCTCCCCTTTATGATTGCAAAGAGCTTGATTTTTTCCCAGCGAAGTCCGCATGCTCAGGTCCATGGCCAGTCCTACAAACATAATTGGAGATTTCCAGAGAAAGCTCAGTGACCCAGTAAGAGTAAGGACTCCATGGACCCAGCCATGGGGAATCTAGCAGAAGGTGGTTACGATTCAGATGGAGCCTCAGCAGCAGTATAAACGTGGCTATCGCCAAGGTACTGTTTCATCTTGTTTTACTCAGGGTTTCATCCTGGTGACCATCATGTGGTGTCTGAGCTATCTCCCCTTTCCTCCTGGTGCAGGGTCCTGCCTTTGTGTTGATTTTGGCCCTGTTGGCTGTGCTTGTGTTGTCACACAGCAAGGATCAGCTGCTCCCTAGGGAATGGGGAGCTGGGGCAGCGGCAAAGCCTGCAGGGCAGGGGCCACACCAGCAGGACTCCATCCCGCAGTACCCAGCGAAGTGAGCAGGGCAGGCCTGGGGATGGCAGCCAGAGTCAGCCAAGAGTCCAGATCATCAGGCAAGTGCCTGGTGAGAGCAGGTCTGAGGTCAAGCCAGCTGTGCCCAGTGTCCATGTCAGGATCAGGTCTGGTGGCAGTCACTGGGGTCAGGCAGAGCCCGCTGGTGGCTGTGCAGGTCCATCAGGAGAGGGCAGTCTGAGGGGACGTGAGGCAGCAGGTCAGGCTCTGGATCAGCAGGGTTCATGGGCAGGCATGGCCGGGGCTGTGGTGGAGCTGGAGGCGAGCATACCTGCAGTGTGGCTGAAGCAGAGACCAGGGCCCGGCTTCAATGGAGCTCCTGGGCCTATGGGCAGGACATGTTGGTGGAGGCCCCAGTTCAGGCTGGTCAGGGTCATTAAAGCCTATTAATGCCTGCAGGGGCCTGACAGCTTGCCCTGGAGCGCTGTGCAGCTGACCCCCTCCGGAGCAGAGGTATGGGGGCGTACCAGGGGTGCTGGCTGGCCCAGGACAGCGCGAGGTCTTTGGAAGGCAGACGGGAACGTGATGTCTGGAGAGCCTCTTATCTGTCTGGTTCTCTGCCATACGGGCTGCAGCCTGTAGCTGCCCAAGGACAGACCACACAAGTAGAGAGCGCTGGGTGGTCTGTGGGTTTTGTGCAGCCACTGGTGGGTTCTGGAGATAATTGTGGATCCTTGAAAGCATCCACAGGGAGCTCATATCTGAGTGTTTTCTGGAGCTTCCCACAGCTTGGTGTTGTCAGTGTGTCAAGGCCCTGAGCGTTGGTACGGGGCTGCATCTCTAGGAACCTGGAGTCTTTTTGAGGAAGGCTTGCAGAGTGACAGGCCTGATCCCTTGTCCTGAGGCTGTCAGACCACTGCAGTGTGAGTCTGACTCCCAGCCCTCCTGAATGACTGTGCTTGGTCTTGAGTAGTATTTGACTTGTCCAGAGTCCTAATGAGTGCCAAGGCAAGGGCAGCTCTGGGCTGATTCTGGTGCGAACCCTCCTTCCTGCTGGGCCCAGCCGCGTTCATCCTCGGCAAGCAGAGCCAGGCGCTGTGAGGCTGGTGGTAGGCCAAATCGGTCTGAGTGCAAATCTTGCATGACATGGGCTTCCACCCACTTTCTCTGAGGCTGTCATGGGATCATTGCTTTGTTCTTCCATCTCCGAGACAAAGGGCAGAAGCAGTTAACACTGATGCATGCAGGCAATCCTGAGTCCCAGTTCGCGCTGTTTCCTCTGCTTGCTGCAGGTCAGGCTGCCTTACACAAAGGGTTATAAACAAGCAGCACCACAGAGGCTTCCAAAAGAGAGATTTTACTGTTCTGGAAATCAGAGGACCCCTCTACATTGCAAGAGCAAGGTAGAAATGATCAGTGCAGCATCCCAGAAGCCAGCGCTGGTGCTCTGCAGAAGGGGTGTTTGGCCAAAAGATTCAAAAATCTCCCTCTTGTCACATTGAAATCACCTGGACCCAGATGTCTGACAAGCCACCTGGAAGACCATTTGCACTGGTCTGGGAGGAAGGGAAGTGGACTGGCCAGGGCTCCAGGTCTGCTCAGTTTACTACAAAAGAGTTCTCTCCATCCCTCCCCCCATGGATTTTCTCACTCTTCTTTGTGTACGCAAACACACAGGCAAGAGATGTGAAAGATTTATGATACTCCCTTGGTTTTGTTCTAATAAAAAGCAGTCCGAGTGGTGAAGGAATAAATCTAGAGCTGCTTGGCTGTGAAACCAAGATGAAGGAGGCTCTGCTGATTAGAGTAATCAAGCCCCTATTCCCTGCAATAAATTAAAGTCGCTGAATACCGACGGTGAGGCTGGCGAGTGCCACCTGCTGGCACATGGCCGCTTCTTGGGCAGTCCGGGCTGCTGTGCCTGGACTAGGGCGCTGCGTGCTCGCTGGTTCCTGGGTAGACAGAGGGGTATCCCTGCCCTTCTAGAGCGGTGTATCAGGCAGGCTGTACTCGAGGGGTGTGCTTTGAGCACAGGGTTCAGGGCACTGGAAATGCTTGACATTGGGAAGGCACAGTTTTGATTTCCTGATCTGATTTTAAAATCTCTGCTACGTAAAGTATGGAAGCAACTGAGCACTGCAAAGTGTGCCTGGCTCAGCTGCTGCAGTGAAGCTGGGCAGGGGGTCCGGAGGGGAGCAGATAGTGCTGGTGCTGCGTCCACACTGATCCTGCAATGAACTTGGTGTTGCGCGAATCACCCAGTCAAGGTTTCGGCAGCTCTTGAGCAGGAGCAGCGGGCCCGTATTTTTACCAGTAGCTCTGCATCGGAGCGCATGGGCAGTTGGGCACATGGCTTCTCTTTGCATTCTTAAATTACTCCTGCTGGACCACAAGATGTAAATTCCTTGTTAGTGTGCAGCGTGGGTGGTAGCATCGTTTTTTCTTTAGAGAATAGGTTTTAGACATGACGTGACCTGGGTCTGGAGACTGATTGCAGCAACTGAGGAGAGAGAGAGAAGAAAGAAATTTTGTGAAACTGTCTGTTGGTATGTTTTGGAAAAGGTCATGGGTATGTCTCAGGCCTGTGGTTTGTCAGTGGTAGGAGGAGTGCACTTGAGTGCAATGTTTTGCTCCTTTTGTCTTCTCCTGCACGTTGGTCTAATCTGGTAGTATGAAGAGACACTGTGCCTATATATGTGTGTGTGCGTGTATCTGCTATAGGCATATATATACACGTACACATGGCTATGTATGACTCTAGCAAATATGCAATCAACTATTAATATGTCTCATTGATTAACATATCTGTTGTATGCTGAGTTTTCTTTTGATTTCCTGGATGTGTAAATACTTTCAGCTTTTAGTTCTTTCGTGCGTTGATAGGCAAGAATCGATCCAGGCAAGAAGTAAAAATAAGGAACAAGGACGAGGTGTTTCTTCAGAGTAAATGTTCTTAAAAAAAGGACGTTGAAGACTAGTGTCCTGATATAAGGTGTGTGAGTTTGGTTGTGAATCAGGAAACTTATCTCTGCTTTCCTGTTGTGTAAATTGGCAAAGGCACATAGCATTGGAAGGCATCTGAGAGGCTAAACAGCGCTGTGCTCCATAGAGACCAGGAATGGAAGGAGGCTTTCTTGGCACAGGAGCATCAGAGTATGACCTGGACTGGGCTTTCATGGAACCCTTCATCGAATGCATTTGGCACCTTGAGGGCGACGGGGCATGTGTTGCCTCATGGGTGGCCTTTTATGCTTGAGATTGTTGTGTTCATTACTGGGCAGCCCCAGTGGTGACACTGGTTACATTTCAGACCTTGCACTACCATTGCTGTTTAATGTCTTATTTCCTTCCCTGCCTTTATTCTTAAAGGCCCACCTGTTAAAACTTCCTGGAAAGTTATCCTTTTCATATAAAATGGTTGCTCATGGCACCAAGCCAAGGATAACCTTTCTGGGGAGCACAGCTGCTGGATTAGTGAGACCAGAATGGGGCAACATCATTTCCTCAGCAGCGCAATAACTTTTTGTAGCCATGCCAGTCTTCTCAGAGTGATGGTGTTTGGTGGCTGTTGATGCCGGGAGAGCATGTGCAGAACTCTGGGTGTTTCAGAAATGGGCTCCAGGTCAGCTCTCGCATCTGACTTCATGGAGCTATTCAGAGAAGTGGCAGCAAGTGTGGGCATGATCTTCATGTCTTGTTGTTTGCTTGTCATATTTCCGTTTGGTACCGTGCTAGATTAATTGGCGCAAAACCCAAGTGCAAATCTGCCTGTGATTGTAGTCAACTGTTAATGGGTCTCATGTTTTCCCACACACAGCTGCTACACGTGCATACGCAGTAAAAATTGTGAACAGCACTTCAGGCACTTGAGTTTGTAGGGGAACTCCATGGCAATGTAATATGCTGTCTGCAACTGGTTCACCCTGCCATTACTGTCATTGCTCTTGCGGTACGAACCTGAATGGGAGAATAAAGCCCTGCCATGAAGCATCTTACAGAACAGAGTCCTCTGGATGGACAGTGACTGGCTACATCATTGGTGTTATGAAGTCAGGGCAACCTGTAGTGGACCTCAGATTTCTGCAACTAACCTTTCATTTGCCTTTTGCCCACAGGAGCTGTCAGAGCATGACCAGTCTGTTCAGCAGTACCATGTCTCCTGTGAAGGATGGAACATCATCTCTTCCAAGGAGGCAGACTTCCTTCACCAAACCCCCACTCCGTGCGCTCTACGACTTACTGATAGGACCTATGGAAGGAGTAAGCCCTTGGCATGGAAAAATGTAGAAATTTGCTTACCAAACTACCCAGTCAATATGGGAAAGCAAGAATAGACAGCTTGGGGATTGTAGTCTGAAATGTGGTGGTTTTCACTTGGTCTTCCCAGCTAGTGAGACTAGGTGTGTTGGGAGGTGGAAACAAGGGGTGTTGCTGTTGACACACTTCCAGGAAGTGTATCCTCAATTCATTAATACTAATTTGCAAGCTCAGCAGCTCTGTCTAGAGATAAATAGGTCAGGGGATAGAAGAAGCAGTACCGAGAGCCCAGCGGCACCACTAGCCCACCCTGTGCCTCCTGCTGCCATGCAGTGCCGTGGTGGCAGCCAGGCAAGCTGGGCCCTGCTCCCTGTCCGTCCCGGGGCTGGTGCTTTTGCGAGGAGATGGACGTGCTCCTGGCGGGTGCCAGCAGCAGCGGGTGGGAGCTGTGCTGGGCTGGTGGGGCTGTCAGCAACCCGTGTGGGTCACTGCTGGTGTCCCAGCGCTCGGCCCGCTCGGGCCCTGCTCTGCGCGTGGCCAGGGTGCGCTGCCAGCGTGCGGGTGGAGGGCGCGGGCCCTGGCGGCGTCCCACGCTTGTGGGTCACGGGGTGGACGCAGAAGCAG